AGTATATCTGTCATAAGACTGACTTTCGATCAGTCTCCGGTTACAGTTGGGAACTAAGAGCACCTAGCCGGAACACAGGGATCAGTCAAATCCTTATTCGCAATAAAAAGAGACAAATTACGAACCTGCAGCAGATAACACAGATGACGTATGGCTACATCGTAATATTCGGCACGCAATGCACTCATAAACACTTCGTGCAGCGCTCTACGCTGTATTTGCACCGGCCCAAGACGCGTCAAATCCCCAATGAAATCCTTCGGATTTTCCGGCATTCCATACCCAGATATGGTTCTGTACAAAACTGGGTATACCTGCCGATAATCGGAAACACTGCGTTGCTCACCTTCTGGTACGTGCAACCGGAACAGAACGGCCAGACGTGAGAAGAATGCACATTTTCGCTTGAATCCAATCTGCAAAAGCTTTTTTTCAGACCAATTTCAAATAAATCAGTAACTGTAGGCAGACAGTCCAGCATGAAAAGCTTTGGCAGTGCCCAACAGGATGGATTTTGAGACACATGCATTTTCATTATATCACCACGTATTTGTTGGATGATGTAAAACATGTTTGTTTTATAAGATCTATATGAATTTAATATGTTTTACATAAGATGCGTAAGACTGCTTCATACCGAAGGAACACTGCGAAAGGAATGTTGTAAAAGAAGCATAACTTATGCACCGGCGGGAAAAAAGAAATGAGGATCGATCTAAGAGAACACAAAGATAGTCGAAACCAAATATCGGAACTACATTTCTTACTTGCAAGTGCGAAATACTTGAATTAACGTTTCATTCAAGAGCTACATATAAAGATAAACAGCTATAAAATAAAAAACTGGGCTCCTCATCACACGCTGAAAGTTGCCTCGGTATAATATTGGCTACAAACTACAATTCTGAAAGTCAGCTGTGCACAAAATTTAAAATGTCATTTTAAAAAGTTGTTAGTTTCAAAAATGGAATAAATTACTAAATTCAGTGTAATTTACGTATATCATTAAAAGATCAGTTATACATATAACATCAGTTATACATATAATTGATTTTTTAATATGTACAGATGAATATGTATACATACACATGTATACATATATATATATAT